GGATTAAGATTTTTTTTAAACAAAGAAGTATTTATTTTTGTCTACTATGAAGCAAAAGACTGAGCCGGCTCTAAGACTTATTTAGAGCACCTAGAGGTTTTAAGATAACAGGTTCCATAACAATATTCTCCTCCCCATGCCATACTAACTTCTGTGTGCCTACTAATCCAGACTTTGAAGTTTTGCTCTACTTAATTAAAAAACATTACTCCATAGTAATAAAACGCTATTATATCTGGTGTTTCAGTAACTGACTTTTAGTATGTACATATTATTATATCGACTATCCCTTACTGATGCAACGAAAATAGGCTTTCAAATACCAACAGCAAGATTTAACCATGTTTTCCATCCAAGCTTTTCTTCAAAAGATCATTATTATGCAGATATAATGGCAAGTCTATACGTGCAAGCAGTTGCTAAAGAGCATTCAAAAGGAGAATTAGAACATTTTAAGCCCCTTCATATCAGCGCCAGCAGCTGAACAAACCAGAACCCTGACACCCCCGGAGGCTTCCTCACAGCAGATTTCCATAGAGCTACCCTGCCTCGCTTAATAATCTTCCCTAGCAGGTAACATTCATTCTGAACAATTATTGCCCATTATTTCTTTGTCAGAGGCAATACAGCCTCTGAATACTGCAAAGGTCAATCCTCTCACTGAGCATTTGGTATTAGCCAAACATTTCTTCTTTTTCTTCTTTTTCCTTTTTTGGGGGTAGTTTCTGATGCAGCCAGAAAAAAAAAAATAGCCTCTGAATACCAAAGGTCAATCCTCTCACTGAGCATTTGGTATTAGCCAAACATTTCTTCTTTTTCTTCTTTTTCCTTTTTTGGGGGTAGTTTCTGATGCAGCCAGAAAAAAAAAAATAGCCAAGTTTTGCTTACTTTTAAAATTAGAAATATAATAAAAATTGATTGAAAACTTTGTCCTGACAGGATTACTACCTGGTTCTACAGATTAGATCTATCAACATATTTTTGCAGGCATTTCAATTAAAAACCGTAAGATTTTTACAGAAAGTTTTTTCCAAATAATCTTTGCTCCCTCTCAAATCTGAGATTGAAAAGTACATCTTTTAGTCTTCCTGTATCAAGTACTTCGAAGTCTAATTTTGAAAGTGTTGGTCTCGTGTCTATCAGCATTTTTCCACCTAAACAAAACTTCTGCAAGTTTTTTTAAAAACAAACAAGAAAACCCCAAACTTCTATGCATTCCAAACACCTGCATCTCAAATAAAAAAGTTTATCTGTTTCTTTTCTTTTCAAAAGACTCTCTTGGCAAAGAAAATACACCAAGCCTTTCAAACAGATTTTTCTTAGCCACCTACAATGGAAATTGATGTTGTCAGCTAATATACATCCTAAGGGAGTAGTAACACCATACAGAATATTAGTATTATATTAACCTGAAGAACAGAAAGGTTGTTTTGAACTACAGCAACAAGCTGTTATGCTGCACCTAAAGAACATATTTAATACTCTCACCTGTGGGTGGTCCAAAAATTTACACTAAATCTAAGACAGATAAAGAAAAGGCTGAAATTTGAAGAAGCTTTTTTTTTCCTCCAATAAGCACTTCCTAAAATAGCCTGGCCAAGTCCAATAGCTGTTCTCTGCTATTGTCCAGAAGAGCAGACAACTGAAAATACTAGAAATTTTAAACAGATTCACAGACACTCCCCTCCCCATGCCTCCCAAAGGAACTCAAAGGTGCTAAAGGTAAAAATGTGCTAGACTATTTACTTTTGAGGTCTTTTTGGCAACACAGTGTAATTTTTACCCTTCCATAAAAACAAATTTTTCCGAAGTGCTGAAAAACTTGGCACAATGAACATGGAACTTTAAGTTCTATACAAAACATCAACTATGCAGACCTCTTTTTTGTATTCACTGCCCCATATTAACATAAAAGATACTAAGAAGTGGGAAAAAATAGTAATATTTTGTCAATCTCCAGCATACAATTATACATCTGAGATTAAACACTTATAATAGGCACAGGTTTTTTTTTTTATTCTTTTCAACTAAGAAGAAAAGTCAAGGATTAGGAATAGTTGCCATGGGAAGCTTCCAAGACCAGTCTGGATAAGCCCCCAGCAGCCTTATCTGACCTAATAGCTGACACTACTTTGAGTAGGAGGTTGGACTAGAGATGTCCCGAGGTTCTCTCCAATCTGAATCATCCTGTGATCCTATGAAAAAATGCACGTGCGCATTCAAAATTCAGCACAAATCCTTCTGAAGCACTAACTACTACCTGCAAGGAATATAAAGGTCCAAACTTAGAAAGCTAGATACAATGATGTCAACCTCTGTTAAGTGAGAATATCAGATCATCATCCATCCCTATCTTGGTACCTTATGAAGGAACAAGAAATGACCAAGGATGATACTGCAGTAAACATATCTAAATTCTGACAACTATACTTATGACTTTCAGCCCCCCATGTAAACATAAACTATACCATTGTGCATCAAATTACTCATTATAACCTTTTTAATTAGCTATTAGCTGCGTACCAGTTTTTCCTAAAACCAGCCTCTCTGTATACTAGAAACTATGTTTAAACAAAACTGTAACGGAAAAATATTTATCTTGGGGATTTGTGTGTTTGAATTTAGACATATGTAAGTAAAGACAGTGCTAAGCAGTACTGCAGTCCTACTATATACACACACTCACAGAGTCTTACAAGCTTTAATCCATTTCTTACATAAACCAAAAATAGTCATATCCACTGCAAAATCTCTATGTAACACCACACAAGTTTACAAAGTGTTATGTTAACATCCTTTTCCTTGGAAATAGTCGCTTCCATTAATTTAATGCCTTAATTTCTGTAACAGCACTACTTCCAAAAATAATGTTGACTCATCTAATGAAGCACTACCAGGATGAGCTAGCAGGAGACAACAGGACCAAGGGTAGAGAAAAAGCAGTAGCCTACAGAATGAAAACTTTGATTCCACAGAAAGATACAGTCTGCTTCCTATAACCGACCTAATTCCACTGGCTTCACAGGAATTGAATTTAACATGATTAAAAGAGAAAAGGTCTCTTTTTAACTCAAAGAAGTGAAATAAAGTGATTTATAAAAGTCTCTACAATAACGACGTGTCATTGAGATCATATTTTGAAGATCCAAATGCTACTTAGGCTAGACATTGTTCTCTTTACAGTAACCCTTTTTCAGGTTTTGATAGCTAGTTCTAAAAATAAAACATGTTAATAAAACACCATTATAATTTCCATCTTTGTCACATCCTTATGTATTTCACATCAAAACAATTCAACTAGTAAATAAATGTTTCTAGCCATAAAATGGCTTGCAAGTCAAAACCTGTAACAGTTACACATACAGAATACATCATGCCAAATTACCATCCACTACTATTAATTATGACAATAATACATATGACATGTCTTTATGAGAGGGATATCTGAATGCTTCATCTTCAATAGAATGAAAGAGTTAATTGCTGAGGGCTCTCCACAATTCTGTTTAAAAAAAAAGTTTTGCTCGCTAAATTAGACCAAGCCTTGAGCCACATCACCATTTGCTGAGCCTCCATCCAACATGCTTTAGTTATTGGCAATGCATTTAATCCTCCTCTGTTTGCACAGAAATTCATCTGAGTCTGGCAAGAAAAGAGGTATTTCAGAATGAATGCCAGAAAGTAATTTATAGAACATCCAATTCTCGGGCCCTAACGAACAGTTGTGTTACACTGCCTCCCAGTGCACAGCGCCTGCCTGAAGCTCAAATGAAAAAGGTTGAAGAATCCATTTTAGACATGGAACTACCAATAATTCCCAAAAGAATTACAACTATCTTAGAGGCTGCTCTCAAAAGCATTTAAGTTGTTTTGAAAAATTCTAGACAGAAAATAATATTGAACTGTGGGATTTCATTTCACTTTAAATAAAGAAAGAAATTGCAAAAGTAAAAACGAAAACCAGGCAAATTCATACGGCAGACCACTTTTTTACTGAGTGCTTGTACAACATCTTGTATAAGGGAGTCTTGGGGCAAACCAGGATTTCTAAATCATAGCTAAAAAAAAAAATCATTGACAAAACCCAAAAATTTTACAGCAGATAAAATTTCTCTAGGAAAAGGAAGAAGCATTTTTATATTTTATATATAAGGTGACCCAAGCCAAAGCATTTCAAAGTCAAAACCAAACATAGATATCTGTTAATCTCCGTGGGCCTCATATCATGTTCTGAAACACTAGTACTGGATTCTCTAAAGAATCCAGTCCTCCAACGCTGACCATTCAAAACCTTAGTAAAAGTAATTTTTTAACTGTGTGAGTCAACATCCCAAAATGTTCATATCTAGCACCCTATTTTTTTAATCAGTAACAAACACATCAACACTGACATTCAGAATTTATAATAGTCTAACAGACATTTAGTAAAGAGGCTAAACTTCAATGTAATCACCATTTCCAATTCTCTCCCAGACCATGAACACACAGCATTGCAGAAAAGATTAAAAAAAAAAAAAATCATTTAACAAAACCTACAGTTGAATTTTACTGGGAGAAAGAGGCAGGTGTACTTTCTAAGATTTTTAAGATTAGCATTATTCTTGCTGGCTCTTAAAAAAGTAGTAGGGTCGTTAAGCTGAAGTACAGCTTAGCCATGTCTAACTTGAGGCAGTTTGCTTATGAGAAAGGTCAGACCCCTGAAACTCAAAAGCAAGTGAATCGGTCAAAAATGAGTGAAGCAAATGAACTTGATTTGCTCATTTGGACAGCATGGAAGAATCACGAAAATGCACAACCTACAATCTAACCCTCAAAACATGCTATTTACAAAAATACTGTCACTAGCCAAGCTTCTAAGAGCCATTAGCAGAATGTTTGTAATTTCGCTTTAGACATGCAGGTAACTGATCCCTTTTGTTTAGGGGAACCAGTTAAAGGGGACTAGTTAAATGAAAACAAATCAGCTTTACAAATGAAAGGCAAGAATGGGAAACACTTACAGCAGTTGGATCCTTCAAATGGAGCTGAGTTGCTGTCACTTGTTTGAAACCACCAGGATAGCTAGAAAAACAGAACAAAGACACAAGCTTAAGCTATGTGCTCAAGCAAGATGTTAACACAAATATCACTACAACTTGAACAACAGTGTATGGTATTATAAGCCTTCAAAAAAGGAAGTTGGTCTCATGAGGCCAACAACTATATTGTATTAGAAAGATTCTATCCTGTCAAGTATCTAAGTTTAATGCCATTTGCACTTTCTTATTTATTCATTTGAGTATTAAAAAGTTTGTGTTTCACAAGCAGATGGATATGTTTTTAAAACTGCTTATTAAATACACCCTCACAGCTACAGAATACAGTGGGAGTAAGATATGCAAAACTTGGAAATGTTTCAAGATGATCAAGACTCACAATCAGGCTGTGGCTGACATACGAGACAACCATTTTGAACAGTATTTATTATTTTCTTACTATTTTAAATAAACCTTAGCATGATTTGACATATCTACAGTAATAAAATGTGACTTCCTGTAAATCAAAGTGTACTGCAATGCATCCATCTTTCTAAAGTCTGTGTGATATGGTGAAGTCATGCTAATTCACATTTAAGCATATACTTTAAATGAATACATTGGGGCAAGAATGAACACAGTGGTCCAAGAAATTACACAGATGTCAAGTAAAGCTGGGTTTCATTTTCATTTAATTACACTACTAGGTATCAACCTAAGTGAAATGAAAATAAACCCAACATCATAAAACATGTCCACTTAGTGAGCTGCACAGATTTAAATATTTGTTTTAATTGTACAATTCTTTTCACTTACTCAAAACCAACTTAACGACTTACACAAGTGCTTTCATTTAGAAGTTTTTAGTGAAAAATTTTAAGAAGTCATGAGGTAGAGGAGAAAAAAAAAGCACGTTAATTTCCATCAACTCTGAACAAGAACTTCTCAGCAATTCAGCAAAGGAATTTCAGGATTGAAACAGCAATACTAGCAAAATTAGCTTTCTCCATGTGATTTATTCATCTCCTGACTGGTTACATTTTAACACTTAGAGATTATTATCTAGTGTTGCCACTGTATAAAATAGGAGCAACTGTTCTTATTTGACTGAACTGATCATACATACTGTCTGTAATTAATTATTGCACTTCCATCTGTAAACAAGTCACGTCTGCCAGAATAATATATTATACGCTATTGTATACATCAGTACATCTTGAAAGCATCTCATTTCTTACTAGTTTTTCCAGTTTCTTTTTCTTTTTTTTTTCATCCTCTGATTCAATAATATATCAATCTTGATATTTACTGTTAGGTAAATATGTACTGGTAGGATAAAGTAATTGAAGTTGGCAACTGTATATATCTTAAATGTGCAGTACTAATAGGAATGTCTTCTACTGCTTAGTAAATAGAATAGTCCCGATCATTGGGTTCATGGGTTCACACAAAACAACCTGGCTCACCAAATCTGTTAACTTACTCAATTGCTCTGACTACTTTTGAGTTAGACTGTTTCCCTAAAAACATACGAGGGGGAAAAAAAAAAAGAAGGGGGGTGGGAGGGGGAGGAGAAAAAAGTTTGCATCATTTTAAACATCGTAACACATGCAAACACAAAACATGTGTAAGTAGGAATTCCCTTTTGAACCAGTATGCTAAAAAGACTTTAACTATTAAGAAAATATGACATTAAACTTACCACTAGCTCATTTGAAAATTTATTATAAAGCTTACCCAGTATGTGAAGAATATACTTTCTGTTCCCATTTGTTACCAGAGAAGGCAATATGTCTTGTATTTATTATGACAACATGATCTCCGCAGTCACCTACAAGGTAGACATTAGTGGAAAGTATTAAGAGAATCATAGGAGAAATCAACAAAAATAATGACTATAAAGTGTGCAATACATATGTAGTAGCACATATATACACATTTCATACAGCTCAAATTTAAACATCTGAGCTTTTTGAGTCACACCATCCAAACCTGCACTTAAATACCAACCTTAATTACTATTTTTATTAGTACTGTCAGGTTAGAAGGCAGGTAAGCAGGTAAAATACCATCAGACTAGATAATTAAACCATTGCAATTATTCAGCTAAGATCTGGAAATCTGGCTTACAGGCAAGTGTATTATTTTATTCAACACATTATGCTGCATATCCACCTATATTTCAAAAAACCCAGTATAAAAAAAGGTTAGTTCTAAACAATGATCCTATTGTTTAGGATAAGTAAATAATTCTATTTATTTACTAATAA